CCCAGCGAGGCCGCAGAGGGTGATAACGGCGTGCTCGAGTTCAAGGATGGCATGACGCTCGATGTCACGAAGCCCTTGCGGACGAACGAGACAGTCGAGAACTGCAAGTTCGTTGACATCTTCCGCAAGACGAAGGACCAGAACGCCGAGAAGCTGGGCAGGAAGGTGGAGAACCTCAAGAAGAAGATGAGCGCTAACGCGGCCATGTACCAGATGACCTTGGACAAGACGGACGGCCTCGATTTCGATGAGATTACCGCGGAGCTCCAGATTTTCGAGGGCGCCAAGGACCTCTTCCAGCACCCCTTCATCGTTGCTTTGAACCCGTGCGCGTGGGTGTGGGACTTCAACAGCGTGGTATTCCCAGGCGTAGCATGTGCCTCGATGGTCATTGAAGGCGCAGTGTTTTTCAAGCTGATGCCCATCTCGTACCTGATCCAGTCTGGAATGTCTTCGCTCAGCTCTCTCAATCAGTACCTGGCCTCGTGCAAGGACGTCAAGGAGGTGCTCGGACACGTCGACTGCAAGCAAGGTGTCCTGAACCAGGGCGACATCCTCTTCACCCCGTTCGGTTTCGCGACGATACTCGTGGCCATTGGCGAGAAGGGCGACAAGGAGCCGCCCAAGGCTGTCTCCATTAGCATCCCCATCTTCCAGAAAAAGATCGACGAGTCAATCGACGAGGAGGCGAAGAAGGAGATCTTTCGCTACATCGAGGCCGGCCTGTCGAAACACAAGGATAGTAAGACGTGGAAGAGCGCCTGCGGCCCCCTGACGAAGTGGGCGGAGTCGGTCACCTCATCGTGACCCTAGAGGCAGCCAAGTTGTGCGTTGCAGGTTTTGAAGCTCAGGTGATTGCGGTGCCCTGGGGAGGGATCCACAATGCAAAGGTGTGAGCTTTAGCAGCGCGTTCCCGTCTATTGCGACGGCTGCCTTGGAGGGTTGAACGCTGGGCAGGGGGGACAAAGCAATTGTCCGTGGGAGGGGGGAGGGAATTAGAGGAATGGGGGCAACGGTTTTCTCAGATACCTTCCATGTCGGCCGACGCATTTTCTAGGGTGAGTCTTGCGCGAGTACCGTTAGCTGAGATCGGCATGCTCACGTTGAATATGCAACCTCCCTCGTGCAACTCACCTGGAACCAGGGGCGCCAGGATAGGTTTGCATCCTCCTCCCCCGCTCCTCCCCCATGCCCCCGCGAGGGGGGGATGGTGAGGGCGTGGATGGGGCAGGAGAGGAGAGGGGCAGGCGGGAGTTGGAGTGATCTGACTGCGATGAACCAGCCAGGGGCCCAAGTCGCCTCGGGATTTTGTTTGGGCCCCCCTTTCGGTCGGCTCTGGGCCGCAACGGAGCCATGGTTGGGGCGGGCTTCGAGAAGGCCGACCTCTGGGAGGGCGAAAACCTGTGGATGCCTTTCCCGTGGGAGCGTGCCGAGATGGACAGGAGGCGCAGGCTCAGAGAACAGTTGGCGAATGTGACGAAGATGACTGCCTCGAATCTCATCCAGGTCAGCGGCGACGATGGCGAGGGCCGCGACGGCGCCCAGAGCCGCGGCGGCAAGAGCGTCGGCCACCGCTCGCCAGTTGACTTGTGGACTGCGCCTGATCCTGTTTTGACGCCGCCGAGGCCACGCGGAAAGCGGGCCCACCCTGAGGGTGAGGCTGCTAAGCAGCTCCAGCCCAAGCGTCGTAGGAACATCTACCGCACGCACGCCTGCGGCGTGTGGCTCCCGAAGCTAGGCTCGAAGAACAAGCCGACTGCCCCGTAGATCGTTTTCCCGTGCCGTGCATTTTAATCGAGTGGCGGGTGCGCCGCGACAGGGGTAACTAACACTTGGGAGACGGGCCTCCTGAGGAAAACTGTGTCGACGGGAGGGGGAGGGAGGGCCCCAAGACGGCTCCAAGAGGGCACCAAAGCAAGATACGTACACGAAAGCCTTCCATGTATCTTGCGTTGGGGCCCTCTTGGAGCCGTCTTGGGGCCCTCTTGGGACCCTCGGGGAGGTTTTAGAGGGGCCCAAGAAGGCCCCGTTGGGCCCCTCCCCCCCCCGAAGGTCCCAAGAGGGTCCCAAGACGGCTCCAAGAGGGCCCCGAAGCAAGATACACGAAAGCCTTCTATGTATATTGCTTTGGGGCCCTCTTGGAGCCGTTTTGGGGCCCTCTTGGGACCCTCGGAGGGGGGTTTTGGAGGGGCCCGAGAGGGCCCCGAGAGGGCACCAAGAGAGTCCAAGAGGGCCCCATGAGGGCCCAAGTGCATGTGTACGGTGACAGCCTGATTTCCAAACGTATCCATGTTGTGACGCAACGCGTGCCCCTTGGCCCCCTAAGCCTACTTCGCCCGCGCGTGCGCGCTCATTCTCCTACCGTCTGCGATCGGGCAAGGCAAACGCCGATACGAATAATGAGTAACGCAAGTATGCGCGTCAACCTATCCGCTATTCGCGGCCGAAGTAAGCAAACCACTGTCCTAAGAGCATTTAGTAGCAAGCGGTTTACCATAATGGGGTGGGTATAGGGTCTGTTCGAGACCCCGTTTAGGCCATCTTGGGGCCTTCTTGGGGGTTCCTCTGGAACGCACTCGTGGCCCTCCTGGAGCCCTCCTTCAACCATGTTGAGACTCTCTTCGCACCCTCGTGTGCCGTCGAAGTTCGCTCGCCCACCAGCGGGCAAGTGGCCCAATCGTTTTCTCGATGGCAGCGCGCGCAAGCGATCGCGATCGGGTAACTGAACGACTGGCCCCATCGCAATCGGTCCGCATCACAAACAAGCGAGCAAGCAGTTCCCCCCCCCTAAGGGCACGCGCTTGCACCGATGACTTCGATAGCAGTGAACTGCGCAACGAAAACGAAGAAAATCACTCCAGAATCACTGGGGGGAGGCCGAAATCACTCCAGAACCAGACGGCCCCCTCCAGAATCACTCGGGGTTCTGGCGGGCCCCCCTAACCCCAACAAGCCCGTGAACGCGGACATCACAATAGGGCGGCTGTCGCGCAATGGCGTTCGCGCCAGAGTTGTTCGCATGCGCCCCCGAGTGCGCGTTGACTCCTCAACGCCCGGATGTGTGTCTGGGGGCGCGCCTCCGCAGTAGCTGGTCTACATCGGCAACAACCAACGCAGGGTCGGGCACTCCGCCGATTCGAACGCACGTGCGATCGGTGCTAACGTGCGCCCCGAGAAGACAGCGGTCTGTAATGCTCGATCGGCTGTCGTTTCTACACTTGCGCAGCCGCCGTCAGCTGCGACGAACCGCCCCCCGGCCCCAAGCCACCCTGTCTAGGTAAGGGTACGGGTATATTTCGTGCTCGAGAGTGGTGAATTCATTTTGAGGATCACGTTCACTTTGGACACCCCACGAATACAACATACTTTACCTCAATGGGAAGGAGCGGTTGGGAAGGGTAGGATGTCAGACATGGCGCGAGCGTGCCTTTCTTGCCCTCTCCCCTCGCCCTTCGCCTGTCCCCTCTTCTCGTCTCTCTACTCTTCACTTCCTTCGTCCTTCCCTCCTCCTCCTCCTCTCTCTCTCTCTCCCTCTCTCTCTCTCTCTCTTTCTGCCGCCCTTCTTATACCGCATGTATACCTGCATCATCATGTTTATTCTCCCCATTTCCTCGCCTTCATCTCGCCTTCCATCTCATGGCCTTTCCTCGTCTCCCTTCCCCTCCTTTCCCCATGTCGCCTTCCGTTCCTCGTCGCCTCCCTCCCGCTTCCTTCCCGTTCCCTTCTCCCCTCCCCGTCCTGTTTCCGTCGCGCGTGCATTGTGGCAGCGTGCCAGGCAAGATCGTCCTCACGGGATGCAGTCCGCAGGGCCCTTGCACCACAAAAAACAGGATCACCCCCCTGCTTCCACCATCGCCCACCCCCCCTTCCCCCTTGCCCTTCCTCTCTCCTTTCCCCGTCCCCTGGCCGCCCACGTCCGTCGCCCTCTCCTCCCCTGTCCTCTGCTCTCCCTTCCACCGCACAGATTCCCTCCCTTCCCTCTCTCCGCAGCCCCCCTCCTTCGCCATGTTGGACAGGGGAACGGGTTCGTTTTTTCAGGAGCTTTCCCCGGGATCAGGTGTAGGGGCCACATGCGAACCTTACCCCCTACCCCCCACAATTTCTGAAGTGGAGGGTGGGGTTCACTTCGCTCGGGAGCTCCCAGACGAAGTGAACCCCACCCTCCCCCTCAGAATTCGTGGGGGGGGGTAGAGGGTAGGGTTCGCATGTGGCCCCCTTAACCCGGGACCAGGTGCTCATCCCGACGCGTTGCTCGACGGCCCCCTGGGCCCGCGGAGGGCCCCGCGGGCTCCAGGGGGCCCCACGGGTTGCCGAACAGCTTCCAGCACCCCGGGCCCGTTTTCTCTGGGACCTTTCGGGGGCCACATGCGAACCCTACCCCCTACCCCCCCCACGATTTCTGAGGGGGAGGGTGGGGTTCACTTCGTTCGGGAGCTCCCGAGCAAAGTGAACCCCGCCCTTCCCCTCAGATCTCGTGGGGGTAGGGGTAGGGTTCGCATGTGGCCCCCTAACCTTTTTCCTCCATGCTTCGCCGCCGTTGCCGTTGCCGGCGTCGTCGTCGTCGTCGTCGTCGTCGTCGTCGTCGTCATCGTCGTCATCGTCGTCGTCGTCGTCAAAGCCGCCGTTGCTGGTTTGAGGAGGGTGCAGAGGAGGAGGAGAAGGAGGAGGGGGGGGGGAAGGTGGAGGCGGAGGCGGAGGCGGAGGAGGAGAAGGAGGTGGAGGTGGAGGAGTGGGCGGAGGAGGCGGAGGTGGCGGAAGAGGCGGAGGAGGCAGAGGTGGAGGAGTAGGACGATGAGAAGGAGTAGGAGGAGGAGGAGGAGGAGGACGATGAGGAGAAGGAGGAGGACGAGCGAGGAGAGTGAGGGGGAGGAGAAGGGGGGGAAGAGGAGTAGGAGGAGGAGGAGGAGGAGGAGGAGCAGGAGGACCGAGGAGGAGCTTGGGCAGACCCATGAGTGAATGTCATCTGGCGTCACGGTTTTGCCCTTGCCTCCGCTTGGGAGGACCCATGCGCTAGACTCTATGGCGCCCACCACAGCGCAGCTCTCCAGGGAGCAGGTGAACGTCTCCTCCGCGCGGTCGGGGTGCCCATGTGGGGGAGGTGGAGAGAGAGAGAGAGACACAGGGGGGAGGGAATATGCAGGATGATGATGACGATGCTGCTGATGATGATGCTGATGCTGATGCTCATGTTCATGATCATGATACTGATCATGATGCCGATGATGGTGATGATGCTGATGCTGATGCTGATGATGCTGATGATGATGGTGATGGTGATGATGACGATGATGATGCTGATGATGCTGGTGATAATGGTGATGATGAACATGATGAATATGCATATGAACATGATGAATATGATGGTGATGATGATGCTGCTGCTGATGATGATGATGATGCTGATAATGATGATGATGATGATGATGATGATGATGATGATGATGATGATGATGATGATGCTGATGATGATGATGATGGTGATGATGCTGGTGATGATGATGGTGGTGGTGGTAATGGTGATGGTGATGATGATGATGATGCTGCTGCTGATGATGATGACGATGATGATGATGATGATGATGATGACAATGTTGGTTCAGAGTAATGCTTTGTTGTTGTAGTAGCACTCTGCTACGGCCGTCTTGTTGTAGTAGTGGTGCGCTAGTAGTACTTTAGGACTGTAGCAGTAGAACTGTTGAAGTAATGTAGTAGCCACTATACACTAGCACTGTAGTAGCAGTAGTACTTGAGCATAGGCTGTAGTATTGGCATTGTAGAATGCAGGGGGACTTGTATTACTAGTAGCAGTGCTCTAGCACTGTACTTAACCTTGGGGTGCGGAGCGCTCCAGGGTCGCCGCCAGAGGCAGCGCCAGGGTGTTAAGACCGCCCCGGACTACATGGGGGGCCTGTTGAGGCCATCCCGGACTACATGGGAGGGCTGTCTGTGCGTACCCCAAAGCCTCTTACTACCATGGAGGAAGGCGACGGCGATGAGGAGGAGCTTGTTTTTGTGAAGGGCCTGGCGATAACCAGGGTTCTCGGGCCCGCCTTCCCCCTCCTCCCCAGATACCTCATCTTGTCGGATGCGCAGGTCCGAAGGGGGTACGCAGTACTGCCGCGCGCGGGCACACGTGGGGCTGCCCGGTGCGAAAGGGTTCGGCTGTATCGGCCAGCACCTGCCCCCCCCCTCCTCCGCCCCCGCCGGCTAGCCTGGGCGATCGCCGAAAATGATGCACGATGTTAAGGGGAAGGGGGGGGACGAGGAGGTCGAGGGGCGGGAGGGAGGTGGGGTGAAGTCGGGCGATCGCCGAAAATGATACACGATCTGAAGGGGAAGGGGGGACGAGGAGGTCGAGGTGCGGGAGGGAGGTGGGGTGAAGTCGGGCATGTCCCTCCACAGGAGTAGTTTTCAAAACGGTCAAAAGACAGTCTGGGGGCGATGATTCGTTGATTATTCTTGGACTATTTTTGAACATGTTTTGGCTATTGTTCGCCGAGCGCGCTCCACTACTCGCAAAGTGCCTACTCGCAAACGTCAGAAAAACACATGTCTGCTTTGATGTAATTTATCGTAGATCCACCGCGGGGGATCCAGGCCATTCGCGAGTAGTCACTTTGCGAGTAAGTGGAACGCGACTGTCTACTTGTTTATTCTTCGAACCAGAGTCCGCCTGTAGGGGGACACGCCCGACCTCAGGGTGGGGGTGGTCGGCGGCCGGCGCGGAATCAGGTCTCGCCGCGGCTGCCGGTGTTCGCCCGTGTCCAGAGGTGCTTCTCGACGGCGCCTCCGGCTGACGGCCCCCTCCCCGGGCGGGCCGACGCGCGGAGGGGCCGAGAGCGCAAAATGCGCTGCTGACCTGTCTTGTCCGGCCTCCCGCGCTCCCCACCCGATCGGGGAACCACAACACCAGGAAGGCTGCCCCTGGCGCCCAGCGCTGGTGGTGCCGCCTCCTTCGACTCGACTCGATTCGATTTCGATCGATTCTGATTCCGATCCGATTCGATTTGGATTCCGATTTGGATTTCGTTTGTTTAATTCGACTTCTCCCGCCTTTGCTGTCAAGTTCCGCCCATCTGATTCCTTTCGATTGCCCATCCGACTCATCGATTCGATTCTGGGCTCGCCTGCCTGAGCGACTACAGTGGAGACCATGCCAAGAAACACCCTGCTTGCCTCCAGGGTGCCCTGGGTTTCTTGGGTTTCTTGGGTTTGTTGGGTTTCGATGTTTTGGCGACGGAAGGCGTGACGTTTACACACCAAGAATAGTTGGACGTCCAGGAGTCTCAGGGTTGGGTTTCTTGTGGAAGGTTTCTTGTGGAGTGGTTTCCACTGTAGCCTTTTGGAGGTCCGCGCGGATCTGTTGGGTCTGCGCCCCCGGCGCGCTACGCGCCCCAGGGAGGGGGCCCAGCGCCGGTCCAAGAAGTCCGCGCGGACCTCCGACAGCTTGTCTGAAGACCTCTGTCCTCTGCCGCCAGCACCCCTCAGATTGCTTGCATGGCCACGCTTGGTTGGTAGGTTGGTTGGTTTTCTTGTCGGTTGCTTGGCTGGCAACTCGGCTGAGTGATCCGTAAGGGCTTCGCCCCCTGCCGCCGGCCCCTTCTCTCGGATCATGGGCAATGCAAGAGCGAAATCATGAGGCCTTGGCGCCGCCGTGAAGCAGCGTCGGGACTTCACGCGAAGACGATGTGTAATCGGCAAGGCAAATTGAAATTCTGATGATATTGTTGAATTCGGTGTTGTATTTCGAGCTTGCTCGCGTATGCTGTGCAAACATCTTTTCTACGAAGTATCAAAATGTTGCAAATCCCATGTGTTTTTTGACCCTGACCCCACCGATCTGCGTGAGGAGTGCCCCGGAATTTCAAGACATGTGGCAAATCCCATGTGTTGTTCGACCGTGACCCCGCCGATCTGCATGAGGAGAGCCACCGAATTTCAGAAATGTGATACCTCCCATGTGTTTTTCGACCCTGACCCCGCTGATCTGCGTGAGGGGGGCCACCGAATTTCAAGACATGTGATGAATCCCATGTGTTTTTCGACCCTGACCCCGCCGATCTGCAGGAGGGGTGCCACCGAAATTCAGAAATGTGTCAAATCCTTGAATGTTTTTGGACCCCGACCCCGCGGACCTGCGTGAGGGGTGCCACCGAATTTCAGAAATGTAGCAGCACCCACCGAACTTCACTAATGTGGCAACTCCCATGTGTTTTTAGACCCTGATCCTGTTGATCTGCGTGGGAGATGCCGCCGAATTTCAGACATGTAGCAAATCCCATGGGTTTGTAGACCCTGACCTCGGCGATCTGCGTGAGGGGTGCCGCCGAATTTCAGACATGTAGCAAATCGTATTGTTTTTTCGACCCTGACCCCTGCTATCTGCGTGAGGGGTGCCACGGAATTTCAAGACATGTGGCAAATCCCATGTGTTGTTCGACCCTGACCCCGCCGATCTGCATGAGGAGTGCCACCGAATTTCAGAAATGTGATAACTCCCATGTGTTTTTCGACCCTGACCCCGCTGATCTGCGTGAGGGGGGCCACCGAATTTCAAGACATGTGATAAATCCCATGTGTTTTTCGACCCTGACCCCGCCGATCTGTGTGAGGGGTGCCACCGAAATTCAGAAATGTGTCAAATCCTTGAATGTTTTTGGACCCCGACCCCGCCGATCTGCGTGAGGGGTGCCACCGAATTTCAGAAATGTAGCAGCACCCACCGAATTTCACTAATGTGGCAACTCCCATGTGTTTTTAGACCCTGATCCTGCTGATATGCGTGTGAGATGTCGCCAAATTTCAGACATGTAGCAAGTCCCATGGGTTTTTAGACCCTGGCCCCAGCGATCTGCGTGAGGGGTGCAGCCGAATTTCAGACATGTAGCAAATCGCATTGTTTTTTCGACCCAGACCCCTGCGATCTGCGTGAGGGGTGCTGCCGAATTTTAGAAATGTGGCAAATCCCATGTGTTTTCCGACCCTGACTCCCCCGATCTGCGTGAGGGTTGCTGCCGGATTTCAGAAATGTGGCAAATCCATTGTTTTTTCGACCCTGACTCCGCCGATCTGCGTGAGGGGTGCCGCCGAAGTTTAGATATGTGGCAGATCCCATGGGTTTTTGACCCGGACCCCGCCGATCTGTGTGAGGGGGGCCACCGAATTTCAGAAATGTGGCAACTCCCATGTGCTTTTGGACCCTGACCCCGTCGATCTGCGTGAGGGGTGTCAATTTCGACCCTCCCAGAAATTCTGAGACCCCTCCCAGGAGGCGCTAACCAGGCTGACTTTCGGCTCCCCCCCCTAGCGCGGTCCACAGGAACAGTAATATAACAAGAAGTATAGGGAAACAAAGCAAGCAACCAGGATGAACCAAGAGATCTCTGGGAGCAAGGGGATGGCCTTGGAAGGCCTCTTCGGGCCATCCCTGGGGGCCGCGTGGGGGCGAGGGGAAGAGGAAGAGGAGGAGGAGGAGAAGTAGGAGGTGGAGGGACCCAAAGAGTGTGATCCCTGGTGCTGCTGCTGCTGGTGGTGCTGCTGATGTTGTTGCTGCCTCTGCTAGTGCTGCGGCTGGTGCCCTGGAAGGCCTGTTGGGGCCATCGAGGAGAGCATCGATCAAAAGATGGGGGGGCGTCGATTTCGGCCCCCTCCCAGGAGCCAGCAAAATCGCCTCTTGGAGCTCTCCTGGGGCTCTTTGGGAGGGTATTGGAGCTCTCTCGGGGCTCTTTTAGGGGTCTTGGGGCCCTCTTGGGGCCCTCCTGGGGCTCTCTTGGGGTCTTCCTGGGGGCCCTGGAAGGCCTCTTGGGGCCATCTTGCAGGCCATCGATCAAAGGAGGAGATGGTATAACGTTCAGCCCCCCACAAATATGCTAAAATGTGGCCAGAACCGTAGTACAACCAATGATTTTGGCGTCCAGAGGGCTGGTGGGATAACGTTCAGCCCCCCCCCCCCCGAAGAGGCCAAAATGGGGCCAAAACCTTAGTACAACCAATGACTTTGGCGCCCAGAGGCTGGTGGGACATTTTTTTAGCTCCCCCCCCAAAGCTGCCAAAATGGGGTCAACATCTCGGTAAAACTAATGATTTTGACTTCCTCGCCGAGGCCGTCTTGGACGCCCTGACACCTCGCGGGCCCCCCAACAAAAAGTCCAGGGGAGGGGTAAGCGGAGGGGTAAACCCCTCTCCTTACGGGAAGAGGGGTTTTGTGGAAGAGGGAAGAGGAATCTCGGTGTGATTACGAGGATTCGTGTCCTCGATCCCCGAGCCGAATTCTCAGGGGGGGGCCGAAAAGCGCCCACCCGGGCCACTTCCACCCTGCTCCCCTCCTCATGGTAGCCATTTTGGCTCAAGCTGTCTTCACCCTGGTCGGGTGCACTCTTGGTGGACCCACCTGAGCGATGTACGGAGCTTGGGGTGGCTACGGAGGCGGACAGCCAGCCTTTGCGGGCTACCAGCAGCAGCAGCAGCAACAGCAGCAGCAGCAGCAGCAGCAGCAGCAGCAGCAGCAGCTGCAGCAGCAGCAGCAGCAGCAGCACGCCGCTGCCTACGGACAGGTCGGGGCTGCCGCGGTGGCACAGCAGGTCGCACCAGCAGCGCTGGCGTCGCAGGCAGATGGCGGGGTTGGGGCCGCCTCGGTTATACAGGTCCAGAACTGCTCCCACCCGGTAGTGGGCCCCATCGTCAACGGCACCTACAACAAGCTGCAGGAGAACCACGGGAGGCCGACGTACCTTCGAGATCAGAAGGCCGTCACCGGCCCTGGGTCGACCTCGGACGTCATGGCTTATTTCTGGGATGAGCGAGACGGCGCCTCGCTGTGCGGCTGGTGGCTCGGGGCGAAGGTGGGCGGCGACCAGGCTTGCGGCCACGCCCTCCGCTCCGTCCTCCTCCTCCTCCTCCTCCTCCTCTTCCTCCTCCCCCTCCTCCCTGCTCTGGGCCTGGCCTGGGACTGTCTGGTCGGAATGGAGGGGGGGGGGGGGATGGGGTAGACCGAAGGTACCTGGGAGCGCTTCCCTGGGCAGCCCAAGGGTACCCGCAAGGAAGCCTGCCTGAGGCATCCGAAGGTACCTGCCAGATCGCTTCCCTGGCCAGCCCGAAGGGTACAACAACTGCTGCATGCTCAGCTGGTTTCGGTGCCGCCGCCGCGCACGTTTCTCGGCACGTCGCTGCCTTCGGCGCCAGGAGGTTTCGGAAAACCAGCCACAAAGGCAGGCGTCTGAAGAGCCAGCTGCGAGAGCGGATTCGTCCACCACCTCTCTGCTATCATCCCCTTTCGTCCGCACTGGGACCACGACCCTTTCTCGTCCTCCTCCTCCTCCTCGTCCCACTGCAGGCCTGGGGCTACAACCCCAGCAGGAGCATGACCCCGCCCACCAGCGGCTGGCGGGTGCCGCACAACGGGCCCGCAGACCCGTCGCTGGCGGTGGTGGCGGCGGGACCCGCTGGCGGGCAGGCGGGCGATGCCTTCTCCTCGCGTCCCTCCCCTCCTCCCCCTCCTCCCTCTGTCTCTCTCTCTCTCTCTCTGTCCCCTGTCCCTCCATTCTCCCCGCCCTCGCCATCGTCCCCCCTGTGCAGGCCTCAAGTTGGCGCCAGGTCCTTCAGGAGGGAAGAAAACACACAGACACAAGTAATCGTCGATCCCCAGGAACATTAAGAAAATATGGGAAGTGGGGGGGGGGAGACAAAAACTCAGAAAATATGGGGAATCCTGTTATGTGTGTGATTCTATTTGTGTGTCCCAGGGCCCCTTCAAGATCCTCCCCAGAGGACTGCCTCGTGGCCGGCCCACTCGCTTTTTGGCCTGGAAGCCTTGCCAGTGATCCCCTCCCTTCCCTGCGCACCTCCCCCGCCTTCTCCCCCCTCTGGCCGGGCACGTCCCTCTGCAAGAATTATTTTTGCCCATTTGGGGGGTATTTTTTTAGTTTTTTTTGGTTCGCCCAAAATCCCCCTGTAGGGGGACACGCCCGACTTATCTTTGGCCCTGTAGGTCCCGAGTCCGAAGGGACCCCTTCCTCGCTCCTTCTTCCCCCTCTACTCCTTCTCCCCCCCCCTCGCTCGACCTCGTTCGCGTTCCCCCCCTCGCTCGACCTTGTCCCCCGCCCCCCTCGCTCTGCCTCGTCCCTCCCCTCCCCCCCCTCACTCGACCTCGTCCTCCCTCCCCTGCTTGAGAGGGAGGAGGAGGGGGAGGAGGAGAAGGAGGAGGAGGAGGAGGAGGAGGAGGGGGAGGAGGACAAACCCAAGAGTCATCAACGATGTTGGAATGAACCCTCCCTCCAACCCAGCCTTCGATGCGCGTTCTGTGTGTTTTGGACTGCGTCGCCAGCTTTGTTTCTTGGACTGCACACGTTAAAAACCTCGAGCAGCCTGCGCCGAGGTGTGTGGGCCGCCGCTGGAACGATCTCTGGGGCTACCTTGCAGTTCGGCTTTCTTAATATGAAAGTTGAAACCTCAAGCAGCCTGCGACGAGGTGTGTGGGCCGCCGCGGGAACGATCTCCGGGGCTACCCTGCGGCTCTGGCCTTCTTAATATGAAACCCTGGGAAGTTGGAGGACGGATGCTGTTTCGGCCCTTCGTCTGACGTGTTCTCGTGTGCACCAAAGGCCCGGTTGATCATCCCCGCTGACGGGCCCAGCATGAAGTCTGGCATGTCCCTCTACAGGAGGAATATTCAAAGATAGTCAGAAAATAGTCCGCGGGCGGTTTGTTGATTATGTTTTGGCTATTTGGTGGATTGTTTGAGTATTTTCCATTTTGTTCTTCCAAATCCGCCTGTAGGGGGACACGCCCGACCTAAGCCTAGCAGGGGCGGCGCGAGGGCGCGAAGCTAGCGGCGCGGTGCGCGAAGCTCGTGACCCGGGGCTCTCCTGTGAGCCCGTTCGGCATCCGAGCCCGTTCGGCCTCCGAAGGGGCAGTCCACTGGAATCACGTCCCACGAGGAGGCGGGAACTTGGCCCGCTCGGCAGCCGAACGGGTTCGAGCCCAAGCCCTCTCCTCTGCAGCCGCACGGGCTCACAGGCCGGATAGGCTCACAAGGAGACTGTTTTGTAAGCCCCCGGCAGTAACGGCCGTGACCGGGGAGGGGGAAGGGTGGAGGGGGCCAGTCACGTCATGATTCGCACCGGCGCCGTCAGGGAATGTTCAGGAAAGCTTAATTCCCACACGGCGCCAGCGGGAATCGTGACGTGACAAGGGGGGGGGGAGGGGGGGGCAGGTCACGGGCGTCATCGCGAATAAAAATGGGTCCATCGGGCGAATCAGCTCTCAAAAGGTACCCTTAAGTCGGGCATGCCCCTCTACAGGGGGAATCTTCAAAAATAGTAAAAAATAGCCTGGGGGCCTTTTTTATGGTATTTTTGAGCATTTGTTGCATATCTGTTGCATAGATTGGTCTAACATCCGCCTGTAGGGGGACATGCCCGACCTCAAGGTACCCCCAAGGTGACCCAGGAAAGAGTTGGGGTCGCAACCGGAAGTGCTCCGGCCCGGTCAGGCGGGTGGCGGCGCGGTCGGCAGCGGCGACTGCGTGGGCGGGACGCGCCACATTATGGTCTCGGGCGTCAGCACCGAGAACGTCGCCAAGTTTATCAACGGCGCCTACACCGTGTGCGGGGAGACTGGGGGGTCAGTATCGTTCAACCGATCCCCATCCCCATCCCCTGCGAGACCCCCACCAAAGTACCACCCCAGTTGGGGATACACCCCTCGAAGCCCGAAGGGAGCGACCTACATCCCCATCTTAGGGGGGTAAATCGGCCAGCGGGGCCCAGGCCGCGCCGCTGGGGATAGGGTCGGCTAATCGATACTCAGGGGGCGCCGACAGGCCCTCGGATCCTGGCGCTGCATTTTTTTCACGGTGGGTGTTTTCGCCAGGTGTCGGGCCTTGGGACCTTCACCGGTCGACCCCGCTCGAGGCATGGCCCAGAGTGCTGACGCCTGGGGATCCGGTCGTGAGTTTTTCACGATGTTACGGTCTTCTTATGCAGCGTGAGATCTGCGGGAGGTGGGAAGAGAAGCCAAGGTGGGCCACGCGCAGAGGAGGGTAGGGGGAGGGGGGGAAGCTTCTTAGAAGCACCCCTGCTTCTTGGAAAGCGTTTGGCCTGTCTATAGATACAGGGCCGATGCCTTCTAAGAAGCAGCCTCCTTCTAAGAAGCCTTCCCACCTTCCCCTACCCCCTTGTGCGCGCCGGCAACAGGGGGGGAGCATCGATCCCCAATCGCCTTTTCATCGCCAATGGGGGGCCAGGGGGCCCCGTCGCGCCCAGGAGCGTCTTGCTGCCCTGTCAGGGGCCTGTCGCCGATCCAGCGGCGAGGTATCGCCGATTCCAAGGACATCTTCCAGGAGATCTTCCCCGCCCCCCGAGCAGGTCCCAAGGCCCCCCCCATATCGTCAGAGGTGACGATGGGGTTGTGATGTTCGAACCTCTTTTAGCCGAGATCATTAGAATCTCGAGCAGCAAGAAAGCACCGAAACTGGAGGGTTTTCATGCGTCGGGCCTTGGGAGGCGATACTCGTTCGACACTTCGCCATCGTGTCGGGCAGGCGCTGATCTGGTATTTTTCTGGGTGCTCGAAATCTGGGATGCAGCCCTGAAGTACGATGGGAACAGCACGACGATGGGGGCGAATAGCCCAGGGGGGGACTACTACATGTATCCCAGGGGCGCGGGTGGTCCATGTCCTCGGCGAGCCCTCCCCTGCGCAGACGTGTGATGCCCGCCCCTGGGCCATTCGCCCCCGCTGTTGTTTCCAGTACCGACCTCCCTTAGGAGAATCACGGGAAGCCGGCCTACAAGAAGGACGTGCAGGTCAGCGGCCTGGACACCATGCTTTACTTCTGGGACGCGCGGGACGGGCAGAGCTTCTCTGGCTGGTGGTTCGGGCCGGAGGTGGGCGGCGACAAGGCCACGGTGGGGCAGAAGTTCGAGCCTCCCAGAGGGGGACAAAGTGCAGCCCAACAGGGTCGCAAGGGTGAGTCACGTTCCAAGGCCATCTTTGCATCCTTGCCGCTCGGGCCATCTTGGCCCGTTGCCATGGGCCATGGGCTGCCAACTTCGGCTTCGATTAGGGCGTCCAGGGGCCTTGCATCCTTACCGCGCATCCTGACGATCCGGTCACGCTGCAGGTTTGGGTCGGAGGATTGCGCAACGTCGCCGATCCATCGGCGATGCGGCTCGATGTCGAGCCCGATATTCTCCACGTCGACGTCGCCGGTGCCTCTGGCGATGCGGCGCGATCATCCGACCACATTTGCTACTCCGACCCCATTCGGGAGGGTCCTAAGATTGCGAGGGGAAGAAGTACGGGGAAGGGGGGGGGTGGAGGCAAAGGGGAATGCATGCTGACGCTCAAGAAGTGCCAGGGGGGAGGGCCCGTCGCGCAGCAATGCCCTGGGAGATGATCCATCACTTGGATTCCGGACTTGCTCGTGCCTGTCTCATCATTGAGATTCTCTGGTCGTTCTTTCCAACATCTTGCCCAGCGGCCGAATTCTCCGGTTGTTTTGTCGTCCCCCGTGCCTTTTCCTTAGTCGCGATTCTACACAACGCGGACGGGGGGCTCCTCCTCCTCCTCCTCCTCCTCGTCCTTCTCCTTCCCCCCTCCCTCCTCCTCTCCCTCCCCCTCTTGGAAGGGGTGAGGGGTGGGGAGGGGCGGCGAGGTCATGGCCCACAGCCCGAGAGACACGCAGACCCCGCCCATGAAGGGCTGGAGCGTGCCGCACAACGGGCCCGCCGACCCAGCGGTCATGCCGCCATGCCTCCTCTCCTTCCCTGCTCTCTCCCTTTGTTCCTCTCCCCTTCCTCCCCTCTCCCTCTCCTTCTCTCCTCCTCCTTCCATGCCTCCTCTTCTTCCTCTCCTGTTCCTCTCCTTCCACCTCGGCGTTCTGCTCTCTTCCTTCCGTCCTCCTCCTCACAACGGTCTCCGTCATGCCAGCGGCATCCTCGGCCGCGCTGGGGACTGCCGGAGTGGCCCAGCAGCAGGGCAACATGCTGCTGCAGCAGCAGGGGGGGGGCAGGAAAGGGTTCACCTGCCCCGCTCTCCTCCTCCTCTCCGGCCACCCTTCACCCCAGCGCTCCCGCGCCTCCCTGCCCCAGGCTCCTGCGTCCTCCGGCCTGTCATTCAGCCCCCTCCTCGCATTCCCTCCCCCTCCGTTCGCTCACGCTCCCCCTACCTCTCGTACTTTGCATCTTCAGGGGAACTTTCCTGTCCTGTGAATGGTAGTCTTCTCTTGTACTCCGACGTGGGTTCGACGCGGATTCGGCGTGGAGTCGACAAGGATTCGATACGGTTTCGAAACGGTTTCGACACGGATTCGACACGGATTCGACTCGCTCGACGCGGATTCGACACGGATTCGATGTGGATCGCGGTGCAACAGGATAGACAAGGCCCCCCGAACATGCAACACATTTTCTCTCCCTGAGGGGTTCTTCATTAAGTCATTGGATGGGTCCGCAGGGTTCTCGCTTGGTGCCCGGTTGTACAGTCGGACCGAGGCATAAGATCGTAGTCGGTTCGGGGAGGATACCCCCGTGTTCTTCGTGTGTGTCGGATGTTCTTGTGCAACCTGGGGAGGGTGCCCTGGGATGTTAGGTGTGTTTTGGCTTATGGAGGGTCCCATGCTCTCGAGGGATGCTCCTCTGGCCCAGATCCGACTGTAGGCCGCCTGCCACCTCAACCCAACCCGAAGGCCCAAACTTGTCCTCGACTTCCAGTGGGGGGGGGGTCGGGGAACATTGTGAAAACACGTCTGGAACCCGCACCCCCCCCAACCCGAAACTCGGGTCTTCGGATTGGGTTGGGGTGATCTGGCACGGCAGGTTCGTGTCATGTCGACCGGCGGCGGCCCCGTCGGCGGCGTTCCACTTTGAACGCCGCAGGCGACCCAGAATCCACCGATGTGGAACATTTTGACGTTTCGGAAACGGCCGATTCTAATTCGTTGTTTTTCCAATCGGCGTGGACCCTCGCACCCCCCCTCCCCCCCTCCCCAGAGTAGATCTTGGCTGTTTGGGGCGCCTGTTTCGAGCAGGTGGAGCCTCCCCCATCGTGGGCGCACTGCTGCAAACAGTCGCGCTAAGCAGAGGTCTGGAGCCAGACCCCCCCCCCTCCCCCCCCCTTCCGCCCAATGTCGAGACGACGAACTAAAAAACGTTCACCATGAAGAGGAGGGAAGGGCGCCCGCCGCCAAAGGCAGGAGGGAGGCCGGGGAGGTAGGAGGAAGAGCGCCCGTTGCCCAAGGCAGTCGGGCGGCAAGGTCAAAAAACTGCCGCAAAAGACGGGAGGGCTGCCAGGAAGGCAAGGCACCTGATGCCGAAGACAGGAGGGAAGCCGCCTGCTACTGCCACAGCCACAGCCGGGCCGTCTCGACGGCCCTGCTTCAGGAGAGAAAGAAACACACAGACACAATTAATCGTCGATTCCCAAAGAAATATGTGAAAATATGGGAAGTGGGGGGGAAGACAAAAATCCAGAAAATATTGGAAAATATGGGGAATCCTTTTATTTGTGTGTATTCATTTCTATGTCCCAGGGCCTCTTCACTGCCGCTTCACCGTCCCACTCCGAAAATAGACGCCCACCAGGGTGGAACGATCCCCACGGGGGCAGCAGCCGACGCCGAGGTCGGCACGGCGCGAACCCCTGACGCAGGCCCCGCCCGTGGCTGCCTCTCTTATCAGGAGGAAAAAACACACAGACACAATTAATCGTCGACTCCCAGGAAAATATGGGAAAATATGGGCAGTGGGGGGGAAGGCGAAAATCCAGAAAATATGGGAAAATATGGGGGATCTTGTTTCTTGTATGTATTTATTTGTATGTCCTTGGGCCCCTTCATCCTAGGCCACCCCCCTCGGCGTGGGGTGGGCTTTTTTCGCCCGGCTCGCCCGGTTGGGTGGCCGCCCGTGGCCGTCCCGTGGCTCTATAGGCCTCCTGGATGGGGTCGGACGATCGCGCCGCCCTCGCCGAGGCATCGACGATGCGCCTCGATGCGGAGCCCGATGTTCTCCACGCCGGCGTCGCCGATGCGTTGCCGACGTCGCCGAGACATCGTTGGTGCATCGCCGATGCATCGGCGATGCGGCTCGATCCTCCGACCCCATCTTTTCCGACCCCATCAAGGAGGCCTCCAGTGGCCGTCACGTGCGCTGGTCCGACAGCAAATCTGAAGTCGGGCCTTTCCCTTTACAGGAGGAATCTTCAAAGATAGTAAAAGAATAATCAGGGGACGATTTTTCTGCTATGTTTTGCTATTGTGAAGGCCTTACGGCCGGTGCCGCCGACCCTGAATGACACGACGACGACGACGACGACGACGACGACGACGACGACGACGACGACGACGACGACGACGACGACGACGACGACGACGACGACGACGACGACGACGACGACGACGACGACGACGACGACGACGACGACGAGCGCTCTGGGGGGCCTCTTGGGGGTAGTTTGTGGGCCTCTTGGGAAGCTCTTAGGGGCCGCTTGGAAGCCTCGTGGGGGCCTCTTGGGGCTTCCTGGGGGTCTCTTGGAGGGGGCCTGGGACGTCTTGGAGGCTTCTTGGACGGTCTTGGGGCTATCTGGGCGTTTTCGGCCGATCTTTGGGCGACTCGGGGCCCTCTTGGGCCGTCTCGGGGGCCATCTGGGGCATTCGGACCTCATTTGGAGTGTTTTCGAGGTTTCTAGGCCGCCCGAGGAAAAACGAATCTGCCCCCCACCCCCCCCGGGACCCCCCCCGGGACCCCCCCCGGGACCCCCCCCGGGACCCCCCCCCCCCCCGGGACCCCCCCCGGGACCCCGGGGCCCCCTCCCCCCCCCCCGGCCCCCCCCCCCCCCCTGGGGAAGGGATCGAAGGGCAGGGGCTTCCCTTCGACTCGATTACGACACTGCTCGATTTTTCTCTCGCTCACGAGCTTGAGAAGGAAGCTGCAAGCTGCAGGGAAAGGGGACGACGGAGGCGACGACCGACGGAGACGACGACTCGAACAGCCAAGCCCCTCGCACACGCCGACAGGGTCGGCGGATTTCAGGGCATTTGTTGAGTACCCTTTTATTTGTCGTCCAAAAGGGGGGTGAAGTGCAGTCCAACAGGGACGTAAGGATGAGTAACGTTCCAAGGATATCTTTGCATCCTTGCCGCTCGTCGAAGAACAAAACGCCATAAACATACACGCTGGATCCGCGCGCTGGGGCCCTCCAGCGGCGCCTCTGGCGCCGCCCCTGGCGCGCTCCGCGCGCCAGGGAGGGGGGTCCCAGCGCAGATCCAAGAAATCCGCGCGGAGCGCCAACAGTTTATGTCTATGGCGGTTTTTCTTCTTCTAATGGGCTGCCAACTTCGGCTTCGATTTGGGCGTCCAGGGGCCTTGCACCCTTACCGCGCATCCTGACGATCCGGTCACACTGTAGACTTGGGTCGGAGGGTTGCGCAACGTCGCCGATCCATCGGCGATGCGGCTCGATGTCGAGCCCGATATTCTCCACGCCGACGTCGCTGGTGCCTCGGCGATGCGGCGCGATCCGCCGACTACATGTACTAGTCCGACCCCATTCGGGAGACTCCTGAGAGGGGGAGGGGAAGAAGTACTGGGAAGGGGAGTCGTGACCCTCTACGGAAGGAAAATTAAAACATAGTAAAACATAGTCTGGAGACCATTTTCTGTTTTCTGATCATTGTATAGAGTATGTTTGGAGTACTTTCTTACATCCGTCTGTAGGAGTGTAAGGGGACATGTCCGCCCTCACGGTAGCGAATCATGGGGACCTGGTATACCTTCTGAATTCCGTTTTTAGCGTTGACTAGCGTCGATTAGCGCTTGGAGATCGATGAGTCGATGAGATGGCGCCGATTGGGCGTCGGGTAGCGTCGATTAGCGTCGACTTAGCGTCGATCAAGCGTCGATTAGCGTCGACTCGCAAGAGCCAACAAGATGGTATGGAAGGCTCCCCATGAGTTGCCACAGAACGTTGGTTGGATCTGCCAGGGCTTTACCCTGTGACCGTATGTGGTCGCCTCTTGGCCGCCCCGTGCGCTGTGTGCACCGCCGAGCTCGCACAACATACTTCACCAATGCCTTGAAACTGAACGGCGCAGCCTCCACACGTGCGCGCGGGCATGTCAGTAGTATGCCAAGCACAGCAGCTGCGCAGACACCGCAAGATAGACAACAACTCGGGCTTGTCTGCCCGCTCGCATCGGGTAGGGAGAAAAAACAGGAGGTGCTGTCACAGTGGAGGCCCATGCCAAGAATCATCCTTCTTGTCTCCAGGGTGTCCTGGGTTTCTTGGGTTTCGATGTTTTTTGCGATGGACAGTGTAACGTTTCTACACCAAACATCGATGGACGTCCTGGGGTCTCAGGGTTGGGCTTCTTGTGGAAGGTTTCTAGTGGACTGACCTCCACCGTAGAAACTTCATCCAGAACCCGCTTTCTCATGTCACCACGCGCGCGCCGCCGTGCGCCCGTGGCGAAATCCTTCCAGAACTCTCGGTGTTGGAAACGCTGTCTATTTAAACCCAGAAGCTGAGCTTTTTCTTAGGGTGGAGGGCTCAGGGTGAAATCCATATGGGCTTTTGCACCTCGAAAATTTGTCCGTTCTGTTGCTCGCCTTTTGCAGATCCAAGCCTCCACAATATATCGAAACGGCATTTGAGATTTCACCCTTTGCCCTCCACTCAAAGAAAGTGGTCAGATAAAGGTTTTGTTCAGCACACAGTTTGCCGGATCTCTTGCATCTCCGCGCGCGCACTTTCGCCTCATCACCCTCGCCAGCGCCGCCGCGCCGCGCCATCGTCATCGACAGTCGTCGCCATTGCCGCCATCATCACCCGAGTACCTTCATCAGCGACACCTGGACATCGTCATCATCATCATCATCATCATCATCATCATCATAATCGCGATCAATATCGCTGCTACCATCAACCTTGACGCCGTTGTCGAAGTCATCATGATACCGCCCCCGCCCGAGTCACCGACCCGCATTGAACCGCCCGCGCGCCAGCGCGACCTTCGAGACGCGCTGGTAAGTTGCCGTCGGTGAGCGCCATCGCGGCCGCACTGGTTGTGCCCTAGGCCCCCTGGCCGTTGCGCGCGCCAGCGCGGCCACAAAGATGCGCCGGCCATTGTCGAACTGCCCAGCAGTCATCGCGCGGACGCATGGGTTTTGCAAGACAGGTTGTGGGCGGGACGGTGGGATGGCGGCGCGAGCAGTGGAG